TGAACATTATTTTATATAACACATACCAATTATAATCAAAAATATTATTTATTTTTAAATATAATTTTAATTTGACCAATACATTTAAATCTTTTCAAATAGTAAGACTAAGACTTGTTCCTGCTCCGCATTATAATCAACAAATTCTCACTCATCCGCATTTCATTATGAAATTCAGTTTGAAATGTAACATTAATTTACTCTAAATAATAATTAAAACATATTTTTTTAATTTTCCAACGAAAAAATTAAAATACTAAAGAAATAATGAACGGTGCAAAACGATTTCAACCTTCAAATAACCAAAATCACTTTACAGGTATTTTCACGTGACCCCACCCCGCAATTTGCAACGCTCTTCCCAAACCTCAAACGGCGTCCACTTGGTTTTCCTTGCAGAGTTTCAGATCTGCCTCGCCATCTCTTCTCTGTCGTTTTGCAAATTTCTCCATAAAAAACAACAAAAATTATAAAATGCAGGCCAAAACAATATCGGCCATCTCCATCACATAAATTAGTCCTATAAATATTCATAATTATTTGGAGGAAATCTCGCATTCCATTTTCTATTACTATTATTCTGACCACAATCTCAGTAATATCTCCTAGAGTACAGAACACCACACAGCAGCGCTCAATGCAATGGCGTCTACTGCTGCTATCGGTGTTCTGAAAGCTCCATCATCATCTGTTTCTTCTTCTTCTTCTTCTTCATTATCTAGTGGGTCTGGCAAGAAAGCCATTTCTAGGAGTCTGTGTTTCTCGGCTTCACAGCTTTGTGGAGATAAGATCGCCGCAGTTTCAGTGGGAGGCGGCGGCTCTGGCTGCCGCAAGCCGGTGATTGTATCTCCCAGGGCTGTTTCTGATTCTAAGAACTCCCAGACATGTCTTGACCCGGATGCTAGCCGTGTGAGTTTTGCGTCTCTGTTTTTAACATGGGCTTGTTCAAATTAATTTTCTTTCGCTCAAATGAGCAGTAAAATGCTCTTTTTATGTTAGTTTCTCGCGGCATGTGACTAATGAGTGTCAAATTGGACTTTTTATTCTTATAGCATTATCTGATCGCCATGCTGATTTAATGGGATTTCATGCTAAATTACTGGAAATAATACGAGTGATTTTTCCTTTGGTTTCTTCAGAATTCTGAATGAGACCATGACGATTCTTCTTCTTATAGCCAAATAATAGATTGCATTGATATTAAGCATGTGTTTTTGGGCCCTGCAATTGAATTTCATGAGAACCGGCTTCGACTGAATTGCTGTATATGTTTTTATCATAATATTCAGAGTGTACTCGGCATCATACTTGGAGGTGGTGCTGGAACTCGTCTTTACCCATTGACTAAGAAGAGGGCAAAACCAGCCGTTCCTCTTGGAGCAAACTACAGGCTGATTGATATCCCTGTAAGCAACTGCCTAAATAGCAATATATCCAAGATCTATGTTCTCACACAATTCAATTCTGCATCCCTCAATCGTCACCTTTCCCGTGCATATGCAAGCAACATGGGTGGCTACAAAAATGAGGGTTTCGTTGAGGTTCTTGCTGCTCAGCAAAGTCCAGAAAACCCAAATTGGTTCCAGGTAATATAACCATCTTAGCCCTAAACGTGTTATTGTCGATCCTCAACAATCTTAATCTTTTCAAATGTAAAAATCTAGCAATTACTGTTCATCTTAATTTGTTGAAATTTTTAATGGCCTTTATCATGATTGCTGTAAGTGAATTTTGATCAACTTCGATTTCATCATTGCAGGGCACTGCAGACGCTGTTAGGCAATATTTATGGCTATTTGAGGAGCACAATGTGTTGGAATTCTTAGTTCTGGCTGGTGACCATTTGTACCGAATGGACTATGAGAAATTTATTCAAGCACACCGAGAAACTGATGCTGATATTACTGTGGCTGCATTGCCGATGGATGAAAAGCGTGCCACTGCATTTGGTCTGATGAAGATCGATGAAGAAGGACGTATTATTGAATTTGCTGAAAAGCCAAAAGGAGAACAACTGAAAGCTATGAAGGTAAACCCCGTAAAATGTGCCTTTCATGTTACTTAACCTGGTAAGTTAATTATTCAATTGATCAATGTTTGTGTCAATTTTTTCTCTACCAGGTTGATACTACTATTCTGGGTCTTGATGATGAGAGAGCGAAAGAAATGCCTTTTATTGCTAGCATGGGTATATATGTTGTCAGCAAACATGTGATGCTAGATCTTCTCAGAGACAAATTTCCTGGTGCAAATGACTTTGGAAGTGAAGTCATTCCCGGCGCAACTTCTATTGGAATGAGAGTACGGCTTCATTTCAATTTTGATTCATAAGAAAATTCCTCCTTTTTATTTATATTGATCATTGAGCTAATACCTGCTTGCACTACTTGTGCTTAGAGAAATTTCACAAATGAGTATAAATGTTAATCTATTTAACTGTTTTCTATGTTATGGTTTTCAATAGTTAAAAATAATTTTTCATCAAAACTGCTTCAAAATTTCACTGAAACTTCGTTGTTAGAGTTACTGGCTGTGATTTGCTGGAGGTTTAAACATTTGATTTGTAGAATCTTGCCGTCATGGCTCTAATCCCTACTCTCTAAAGGCTTGATGTTACCTTTTTGAATTTTCACAGGTTCAAGCTTACTTATACGATGGCTATTGGGAAGACATCGGTACAATTGAGGCTTTCTACAATGCAAATCTTGGCATCACTAAAAAGCCAGTGCCAGACTTCAGGTGACTGATGATGACTATTTGATATAACCTTCCTATTGTCAATATGCTTTAATGGTGATGGTTAAATGTCTGCAATTTTGGGATATCCATTGCAGTTTCTATGACCGTTCAGCGCCAATCTACACCCAACCTCGATATTTGCCTCCATCTAAGATGCTTAATGCTGATGTCACCGATAGTGTTATTGGTGAAGGTTGTGTGATTAAGGTATGATTATTTGAACATTGACAGGATCCCAATCAAATGTAGAGGAGGCTAACTTTCTTTTTCATAATCTATTGTGCAGAACTGCAAAATTCACCATTCTGTGGTTGGGCTTAGATCTTGCATATCAGAGGGAGCAATCATAGAAGACTCACTTTTGATGGGGGCTGATTATTATGAGGTGCGATTATTTTAACTAAGGTCACTTGCACCTGTACAATCACAATGTAACCGATCCAAGTGATTGAGATCAGGTTACATTAAGTGAACTTGGACAATCAATACTAACTGCGATTCTCTTTTCTGATTGCCTTCTTCCAGACTGATGCTGATAGGAGGTTCCTGGCTGCCAGAGGCAGTGTTCCAATTGGTATTGGAAAAAATTCTCATATCAAAAGGGCAATAATTGACAAGAATGCTCGTGTTGGAGAAAACGTTAAGGTAATTATACCATAAACTAATTTCTTCTCCCTCCTATCTAACATTCTTACTTGCCATTTCTTGTCCACCTTCTCATTCTTAATCTTACGTGTTTGGGCTTCCTGGGGTGAGGCGTGAGGGGATGAAGTTTTTTAAATGAAATCAGCTTCTTCTTTTTAATTTTCATCTTAGAACTGAATGATAACTTTAATGAAATATGAGACAGTGGCTTTCCAGCACAAAAAGGAGTGTATGCACTGCTTCCATGGAACATATATGTATGCTTTTCTGATGGAAAGTAATCTAACTTGGTTTTATTTCTCAGATCCTCAATGCCGACAATGTTCAAGAAGCTGCAAGGGAAACTGATGGCTATTTCATAAAAAGCGGCATTGTTACAGTGATCAAGGATGCATTGATTCCCGGTGGAACTGTCATCTAAGGAGCTCTGCATGGTTTCCATATCCTGAAGATGGAGATGGAGCACTTTTTCACGGCACAAGGTTTAATAGAGGTCCTGCTTCCACGTTGGAGATATGCTTTGGGGCTAATGATGTATATTTTTGGCTAGGAGCTTGTAAGTAATAGAGGAAAAGACCTGCCCTCTGAGTAGTTGCTATGTAATGCTCTTTATTCGTTTAAATTAAATAAAAGCTTTTAAGCTGTTATGGACTGCATGGTCTATAGCATGTTTAAAATGGGAATAAAGCCTCAAAAGTGAGGAAAGAAACATCTCATCTAAACAGTTATTAATTGATTTCTGGGCTATGCTAAATAAAAATTAGATTCTTTGTGTGCGTATTCAAAGAGAGAAAGGCAAGAAAGCAAGATCAGGTATTGAACTTACTCATCCTCTTATTACTTATATTATTTTTCTTCGATTTCTTCTTTATAATATGTGGTCAATTTGTCATTGTAAAGGATTTGGGTTTAAGGCAAACTAGACACATGGTGCATTACATGGAGTTTGAGATAAGTCAATATTATTCATGACTTGTTCCAAATATGTGGAAAGAAATAGCTAAGCTAAACGTAAGTTCGATTCTTTCATATATTCTGAGAGTGAGACAATGGAAGTAAGACTAGGTATGGAATTTAATCATCCTTTTATTCCTTACTTTTCTTATATTTCCTATCTATTGTATATGATCAATTTGTAATTGTGAAGGATTTAAGCTTAAGGCTAGTTGTACACATTTTTCATTTTTCATGCATTTATATAGACTTTGAAGTGAGTCGTATCATGGCCTGGGATACAACAGGCTAGCTCCATTGGTAGGATGGTGTTGTTCTGTTCAAAGAGAAGAATAAGAAAACATCTACTCAGTTTTGAATGATCGCATAAGAACAGATTGGTGTGTTTCTTTATAATGATTGGATCCCCATTAGTGCCTAGGGCTATGGATAGTTCTGTCACAAATGATTTCTCAAACAAATCAAGAGAAAGGGATTTGCATCGAAAATCTCATCGAGGAATGATTATTCAAAATATTTTCTCACTAACATGAGAATTAAATATGATTCTATATTTCCTCTCGTCCACTCGTATCGGGAATCACAATGCAGGGCAGAATACTCCCGGAAGCTCAGATTGGGGAAAGAAGCAATGAAACAATAATAATATAGTACTATTGAGATTATTAAAAAATAGCATTGAAATTAGCAAAGCAGGTTATCAAAACCTGGTCAATAGAATTAGACCCTCTCAATTTCTTACAAAATTGATGAAGTCAAACTTGGGGGAAAATGAGCACAACATGTGAGATCTACACAGGTTGCGATGTTCATTATTTAAGTAAATTTCATGTACTTCGTATTTATCACTTCTCAAGATTGATAGAGTTAATTCAAATATCTAATCTTTAGTCATCATGTTCTATTTCTAGGGTTAGATGGCCTTTGCCACAATTGGACTCCGCACAAGATGCTTCCCGTCAGACCATATCAGCTTCCCAAACACATGGTTCTTTGCTGTTGTGTGTTCCTCAACCTTCATGATCACTTTAAAGCTCTTTTCTTCACCAAACCTTTTGAATTTCAAGACATTAGGCTTCACAGAAATGGAAATCCCACGTGGATTGTGAACGTGAGCCACATAAGTTGCTGGAGTGCCAACATTTTTTAGGGTCCTTGTGATTGTAGCAGACCGATTAAGATTAGGGACTGTAATGGAAGGATGGTTGAGGTTAAGGATACTTGAGCCTTGCTTGTGGCATTTATAATAATGACCTTGAGTGAAGGTTAAGAGTTGTGAGGCATTGTAACCCAATGCACATAGGAAGTTTAAGTAATCATTGATTGTTGCATCGTAAACAAGGCCCGGATCCATTGCTCTGTTGGGGTCAATATGACCTGCTCCATAACTGAATGGTGTTGCCTGGCCGTTAGAAGCATTAAGCAGTGGCTCCACCTCGTTATCATATGTTGAAGCTGAAAATAGCAAGTAAAACTATCATGTGAGCTTGAATTGGATGTGGTATTAGGAGTAAGTCCAAAGGCAATTATGAATTCTTTAGTGTGCTTTGTCTGTAATATCGTTATCATGTTGACTTTGTTGCCAGATAGAATGATCCGACTTAATATGAAATTGATGTGACTGTTCAGTTGTTTGTGAAAAACGCCATAACGGAGCAATAAAAGAGTTCGGTGCTGCATCAAGGGGTATAAAACTTTATCAAAATATGTTTCCATAACAAATGAACACAATAAAAAACAAATCATCTTCAAATTGAGCTATATCACCTATTTCTGTTAATTATGTTTGTAATCAGACATAATTAAAATGAAACGATTAAACTTTGGAGTACCAAAATCTTAATCCGCTCTTTTGAACTTTCAAGAGCTTCAGGATTTAAACTGATCAGGTATGTGCGTGCATTTTGAAAATATCAAGGAATGTATTCACTTTAATTTTTCAATTATTATGACAGAAACTGGTACGAGTAGAAGGATTTTTTTTTTTTTTAAATTTTGCCGCTCAAGAGTAAAAGGGATTAAGTATAAAGAAGCTAAAGAACTTCTCACCAGTAGTCATAATTGCAGATTTAATAGCAGCAGGAGTCCATGAAGGATAAAGGCCTCTCAAGAGGCCGACAATGCCTGAAACATGAGGACATGACATTGAAGTGCCTGAGCCTGAATTATATGGAATTCTTCTTGTGTCAAACGGTTGGTTTGTTGGCCCTGCGGCTTCTGTGTAGGCTGCTATAACTGAAACTCCAGGTGCAGTTATATCAGGCTGCGAAATTGAGACAAGTGTTAGTTGAACTTCTCGCACAAGACATGAAGGAAAGGCGCCTGCATTCTTTGCATTGAATAAGTAAATATATTGTGTATAAGGAAGAGATAAAACAGAGTTAATCTTGAAAGAGATGAAGTAAAGCACTAAAGCCTACATATGCTTTCAATTTTTATGTCATTTTCTCTTCTAAATATACAATACATTACTCATGATGATCTTAATGAGGGAAAAGAGCTTGCTTTTTTCCCTTTTTTGGTTTCCTCCTTTGCATACCTTTAGGATTTCTGGTATAACAGGATTTGGTCCTTTTGATGAAAATGCTGCCATGAAGGGGGCTGGCTTCGTATGCAACTTTGTTGTTGGGTGCGTAATGTAAGCCACTGGGGACCTAGCAATAATTATACAAAGTGGAGTTTAAGTTGACGTTAAAATTATAGAAGTTAAATTATTCTCTTAATCTTTGTAATTTTATTTAAAAGTTAACTTCCATTGTTAAACTTCTGACAATAATTTCATTGAGTTTATAAATCTAAATACTATCATATATTATTTCAATACTTCAAAGTGAGACCCACAACTTAAGAAGCCTACATAATGTTTTTTCAAAATGAACACGTGTCAATGATAGATATCTTACTTGGTCGATTTGACGTATTTAAAAATTGAAATGCCATCAGTGTAATTGACATGAGAAGCAGGGAGTACATGGGGATCAGCCATTATTTCATTGCCACTAATCTTATCGTTTGCAAGAACCATTCCAACAGCACCTGCAAGTAAAGCTTGCTCTCCTTTGTCCGCCCTTGCATTTTCTCCTCTCAGACATACCACTATCTTCCCCTTCGCCTTTTTCGGATCTAGTGTTCCATTCTGGCACAACCTCCTGCATTCATCTCTCCATATGAATTGTTATCTTCATCATTTAAACACAATTCATTTCAATTGCAATTTAATAATGTGGAGTGAGAATGTCCTTTTGATCTTTTGAAGAGAATCTGCTGTCAGTAATTATATTGAAGCTATTAATTTATAACAAAATAAATTCTTCTCAAATTACTTCAGAGGAAGCTCAAAGAGCGAAAGACAAAAAGAAGCGAGATTTCCTTTTACCCTATATGCATCTACATTATCTCTCTGTTTACCAAACCCCCCCCCCCCCAAAAAAAAGAAAAGAAAAAGAAAACTTCCTGTAAAGTTAACTTCATACACAATATGTAAAAATAGACCCATGGTTTAACATGAAATTGATAGTGTTTTTATATACCCGATTATAGAAAGCTTGCTGTCACAAAACACTTAAATCATATTTATTTGTTATAGCTACTTGACTACATCGAGTGATATAATGCTCAATCATGACATGTTTCTTCAGTAACTGGCCATTTGATATTGCTAGGAAACCATTCTTGAGGTACCTCAAGAATAGTTTTCCCTTGTTAATTGTCCCGTAGCCAAAAGCCTTGCACCGAAAACCACCAAAATAACATGGTGATTTGACTACTTCAAATGAAACAGTGATCTATCATAGCGCTTTTTGACTAACAAATGAACGTGAAGACTACAGTATTTTAGGCCACCAATCTCCTAATTCTTAAAGACAAAAGATTGAACCAAAATGGTGTGGTCAAATTTTGAGAGATGAAATAAATACAATGATGTATCCTTCAAAGATGAAAATGTGATTTCACCCGAAATCATATAATAGCGATGAGCAAGACCAGAATGGAATTCAATTATCATATTTGTACTTACGCGTCCTCAGCATTTGCTGTAGGCTTTTTAGCATCGAGACCAGTGATCATTGGGTATAAGTTGGGCCGCAACCTTGCAGCTGACAAGCTTTCTCCCTTCAATACAAACGTTCGGTATTAGCCGCCTAACATTCTTCCACGAAACAGTAAAACAGTATTTTCAATAGATCATGCCAGACTTTTCAGCGCAAAGACTAGATCAGCTACGGGTCTATCTCGTGGGAGGAAAATCCAACAGAAACATGTTGGAATAATTAGTGAACTATTGGAATAAGTATACCTTCAAAATTAAAATTAGTTTAATAACCTAAAAAATGAAATGACTGAAGACTCAAAATGTGAGAATGATTAGGTAAGAGGTGAATGAACCTTGAAGGTGAGGTTGTTGCCAAGAGTGACGTAAGCTGGGAACTGTCTATCCATGGTGCTGGCAGCGACGGTGAGGAACCACGGTGCGAGGTTCTCTACGGTAGCATCGTCTGGTCCACTGTTTCCGGCGGAACACACCACGGAAATGCCTCGCTTGGCCGCATGAAATGACCCAATGGCAACGCCGTCGTTGAACAGTTCGGAGGACGCTCCTCCCAACGACACCGATATGACGTCGACGCCGTCCTCAATTGCCGCGTCGAAGGCTCCCAATATATCTGCATCGAAGCACTCGCTACCATTGATCGGAGGCCAGCACACCTTTTTCCCATTAAATCGTCGGAATGTTGATTAAGCTCAAGCGAATCGAAGAGGCAGAATAAAACAAATCAAAATAAATTAAATATGACTAATTGGTTAATCATTAGAACCTTGTAAGCTGCAACGCGGGCTCTCGGCGAGCCACCCTTTGCAGAACCAAGGCCTTGGCCGTAGACACTGACGTCGGCGACGTAGTTGCCGGCGGCGGTAGATAAGGTGTGAGAGCCGTGACCCTCCTTGTCACGTGGCGTGTCAAACGATGCGTTTAATTTTCCCGCCACTGATGCGTACCCGTGGTTGAAGTACCTTGCTCCTATTAGCTTCCTACCGCCATAAAATTATTAATTTATATATAATGCCATTTCTATAAAATAAAGAACAAAACAAATCTGAAAATTATCAAGCCCTTGATCTAAAGCCTAAGATTCTCTAAATTAAGTTTATTTTAAATGAATGTGATTAATGTAGCACTTTTTTTTTTTTTTATGATATCCACCATCTTGATCTTACATTTTGGTGTTAGACATTCAGCACCTTAAAAATTATAGTGTTGAATGTAACTTAAAAAATAATATCAGTGTGATGGGCACCTTTAGCCTGATTAAACAATCAAAATTTATCCAAAATAGATGTCATATTTTTGTTGAGGTGCCTGATTAAACAATCAAAATTTATCCAAAATAGATGTCATATTTTTGTTGAGGTGCCTGATTAAACAATCAAAATTTATCCAAAATAGATGGCATATTTTTGTTGAAGTCCAAAGTGGCATTGATTTGGTTGGAAAACTATAGTACTCTCTTTGCTCTTAGATGTAAAAAATTAAATAATTAATTTAGTAATATTAAAAAAATAGTTAAATTAATTATTTATAAAAAATATATTTTTATTTTTCTAAAATATCCTCTTTAATAATTTGTATTGAAACTTCCACATAATGTAAACCCTCTTAATATATACAATTAATAAGAATAGTTTAAAAAAAATTATAAATTTAATAAATAAAATAAATTAGAGTGTTATATTTAAAATTAAAATAAATATTCTAACTAACTGTTATACTTAGAAGCATGAAGAGTATATTAATTGAAAGCAATGAAGTTGAGGATTTGAGAAATATTGTGTGAAGTAAGCCAAAAAAAAAAAAAGTTGTATCTAGCAGAAAGAATTAGTCATCCACAACATGATGAACTTAAATTTGAATGCCTGCTAAGAGAAGTGTTCACATTTAGTACTCGACAATGAATAGGATTGTCTCTAATAAAAAACATAGCTCTGTCTAATAAGAAAAACAAAAAGAAAAAGAAAAAGAAAGAAAGGAAGCAAGGGGGAACCTGTTGCAGCGAAAAGTGGGATCAGATTGGTTCTGGCAGATACCTCTCCACTTGGAGGGAATTGGTCCATAGCCTTCATCACTGAAGCTCTTTGATTCTGGCCACACTCCTATTCATTCCCAATAATATCCAAGTTAGCTTGCACAGTTCATAACCACCACAGAACCAACTCATTTGTTATTCTCTTCTCATCCATTCATGTATCCTCCTTTTCTTTGTTCTCACTTTCACAGTCATTCTCTTATCCCATTTGGATTCCAATGGACCAATTCATTAATTTTAGGTCCACATTATATACCCCCCTTTTAAGAAAAAAAAAATTGGAAAAAAATGACATTCGAGTGTCTTATAAGAGAATTATTGGCACTTTGATATTTTGGGCAAAGTCCCTTGGACTTGATGGCATACTATGCCCCTCTAGCTTTGAGAAGGTCCTGCGTTTACCTTCTGAGAGTGTGTGTATTGGGGAGCCGGGGCCCTTCATAATATATTATAAAAACACTTTTCAAAAATATTTTTTCACAGATCGAGACAAACTCTTCTACATATTTATTTTAAGGGGCGTTTGGCATAATACAAAAGTACTTCTAAAAAGTATTTTTTTCACAAATCAAGATAAACTTTTCTACCTATTTATTTCGTATACTGTAAAATCACTTTTGAAACTATGATTTGGTTTTCATCCAAACACTTTTAATCACTTTTAAAATCATGGTTTTATTTCCATCTAAACACCACCTAAAATTCCCTATATTCAATTATTCATGCATTTGAGGCACTATCCAGAGAGCATAATCAAAAGAATGTAAATATGCTTGGAATCAATATCTCATCATCACTAGAATCTTCTGTTCCCCATGTCCATACAAAATTTAATCACGATCTCTCACTTTTACTCTCTTATTGGATTCCATTGCACCATTCTACCAAAAACATTATTCTTGTGCATAAAAGCAACATCTCATTGTTACAATTATATTTCTTTTACATTTATCTCTCTTCAAATGTACTATAAATATTTGCTTCTATGAATGTAGATAATTCAGACACAGGCTCCACTCTTTTTTCCCTCTCATTCTTGACAGATTTCAACAGTTCAGATCTAATATTTTAATTTGAAAACAAAAGTAAAATTGAATCGTTGCAGTTTAATGCGGATGGCTTATAAATTGTGCAAGAGAAAACACGAAAGGAGATAGCAAGAGAGAAGTTGGAATTTCCAAAACAAACCACCACTAAGTAAAAACTTTATAATGGTTTTGATAGAACATTTTTGACACACTAACGTTAAGCAACAAAGTTATTTCCACTATGAAAGTGCGCCATCATTTATCACATACTAATTCATTTTTCAACCTTATAATCAAACTTATCCAACCACAAAATATCAATTTTGGTGGGCAGACATCATATATATCCCTTCTAATTCTAAATATAAGAATTAATAAAAGAATTTATCTTGACCATAGATGTCATTTTACAATCTACTTTATCTCTTTTTTTCTCTGAACTCCCTGTACTAATTTTTCATTAAGAAAATACTATACAATGCAAGTAATTAAAAGGAGTACTCTGAAAAATCAATACACATTTTTTATAAATAATTAACTTAACTAATTTTTCTTAATATATAAGAATTAGTTACTTAAATAAATTTTTTCAAGACTCGCTCTTTTTTTCCTATACTTTTCTACATTACTTGAATTAGCCAATAACGTTGTAGAAACTTCCATATTTAAAATCATTTCAAGCTGATTTTTTTTTGGAAGGGTAAATATAATATATTATGAACTACTTGTGTATCTTTGACTGCATGCCAGTTATTTTAATATTCAACACCCATTAATCCAATCTTTCTAGTAACTTTTTAGGTATTTCCAACAGCTGAATATTCAACTTTTGGGCATAGGCATTAGAAAAGTAGATTTTCCTATGTATAATTAGTCAATAAAAGAAAAAAAAATTGTCCATGCTTTAGTTATTGAATCATATTAAACAAATATTACAATTCATTCTTTTTTTTATACAATATTATAATTTATTCTGAATAGACCATGAGAAAGACATATAATTGGGTCTTTCTATAAGGGGTCTTATATAAATAAATAGTACCATTTCTTTTTAATGTGATGTATGAATATAGACAAACAAGTATAGCAGAAGAACCGGTCATAACAAACCATTAGTGGGGACTACATTTGAAATTGAAGTAAAAGAAGACAACAACCTCAATGAGATTAACATTTTTTTTTTGAAGATGTCACGAAGTTCTACATTCGAGAATCGGTTGGATTATTAAATAATAAATTAGAAAATTAATATAATGAGATAACTTTCTTTTTAATGATTCCGTTCACGTATGTACTTATGAGTCAACGATCTAGTTTCAAAACACTACAATTCAATCACATGAAAATAATCAATTGCACGTTCGAGATGATGGCCCCGCTATATTTATACTATTAGACTAATCCAATTCTGACCCTTTTGATATTTGAAATATCTCTTTTGAACCCGAAAAATAAAAGGGAATTTTGGTTAAAAATAGTTTGGAAATTTTATTGGCTAAAGGTAGTGGTGCAACTCATTTTTAATAATGCAATTTTACTTGGTTTATGTACAATTTATTTTTAACTATATATATATATATATGTATATTCGTAACAGAGGTCATTTGCACAAAACTGAAAATATGTTATACACAACTGGTTTTTTGGAGAAAAAAAAAACCACTCAAATTCAAATCTTTTTAATCAATGAAATCTTTCAAACAAATGCTTTTAATTGATTTTCTCAAAAAGTTAAACTAAGTATCCTCTGATTCTATTTTTATAGGCAGAAAGAGAAGAAATTTTTTTATCCTATTTATCTGACAGAGATAAATTTTTCATATAAATATACAATTTTAATTTTTATTTATTATTTATTATTATGTTGACTTTGCTTTTATATGTATAATACCTATTAAATAGAGATAAAGTTGAAAAGTTGTTAAATTTTAAATTAGAGTTAATAAAATTTTAAATTTTTTAAGCCCAAATGACTTATAAATGGGATCATAGTAGATACTAGTGGTAGCAATAGGAGGCTGTGAAGTCAACCCTCCTTGTAAGTATGTCCATATAATATATGTGAAAATTTTTAATATTTATTTTAAAAAAAATTCAAATCATGTTAGATAATGAGGGAACTCACCTGTATCGAGGTTGGCTATAATCACGTCTTCACCAAATCTGGCTTTGTTCCATAATGAGCTGGAAGGTATCACTCCATTCTGTTCTAATCCAAGGAAATCCCATGACCTTGTGGTGTGTAGTTTCCTTCCCCTGTTCATGAACACCGACAACACTCTGGGATGCCCTGTTTTCGCCCGCCAAAAAAGAAAATGCCTCAGAAAACGAAAGAAACAGAGAGAAAATAATAATAAAACCACAAGGCTCTGTTTCTCACTCGCCATCTCCTCTGCCACATCTTGTTCCAGAGTCGCAGCAAAGCCGTTTATATGCCTCGTGTAGGAGTAAAAGATCGATTCTTTTGCTGTATCAGAACTACAATGGAAGCAAAATCAAGCATGTTAAGGTTTGACCATATATATATACACGCATATGTTTAGTTCAGATATGAATCTTATAAGCATACCTTCCAAGGAAAGATCCCAGAAACTCATAATGGGAGTTTCTGACATTAAAATCAGTAGAAGACAAGTCTGGATCATGAGAGTGGGATCCCAAGTAGACGATATATGGCTACAACCACCACCAGAAAGATTAAAGATGTTTCACATGTGACAAATCACAGAGAAGAACTAAGTTTTGTTTGGATTTTCAGAGCTGAGATTGATGCTTATTTACCATTTTCTCAGCAAAACAGGGAGCTTGCAGAAGACAGATGAGCAGGATTTGAAGAAGAAAGTGATGATGAGAGGCAGAGGAGCTCATTGGTTTCCTCATTCTGCTTAATGCCTTCGCCTGTCTTCAACTTTGGCCTAGTAGAGCTCTTATATATAGATTATAAGTAGGGCAGACCCATATAAGGAATCATACATTTTTAAATCAGGACAAACAAAAAGGGAAATATACTTCAACAGTTTTAGTCACAAGAATGAAATCCTAATGCATCATCTTGTTGATGTTGATGTAGATGGTTTACGGGATCAAAAACACATAAAAATGCTTGTTGGCTTAGGAGCTGTTTGGCTATTTCCAAAATCACTTCCTAAAAACATTTTTCTGTAAAACAAGACAAATTCCTCTAGATATTTACTTCGTAAACCATAAAAATACTTTTAAAACTGTAGTTTGGTTTCTATCCAAACACTTCCTTAAATGATTCTGTAGTTGTTCTTTAAATTATTATTACCAGTGGAATTTTACATGTGTAATATCTTATTTGACTCTAGTTTAAATTAGTTGGAGTTCAATATTACTTTTGAAAGACCTTTCTAATTGCTATATCTTTAAAAGAGGGAAAAAAATCTTTTTAATGTTTGTGAATATGAAAAATTGCTTGGAAAGTCCCTTATTACAGAATCTTTTTTATTTAAAAATACCTTAAATTTCTTTAAGGAGTAAATTTGTTCAAGGATCAAGATATAACTTATTTTCAGTTGTGTGCATAATGAAAGACATTTGCATATAATTAAAAATATAGTGTATACAACTGAAAGAAGAGTTGCACTCGCCGAAAAAAATTATATATACATATGTATATGTGTATGGATAAAAGAGTTACATTCGCTTAAGGAAGGACGGCCTTAGCACCTCATATTCTAATAATTTGTTTTGGCTGTGAACAGGTTATGGTTTTTGCCTTGAGATGAACAAAGAAAAAAAATAATTATAAGGTGATGATTCTTAAGGGGTCAAATTGGCACTTGATTAATAATTGTAGGGCTGTTTGAATTGTAATTTGTATGAAAACAATGAAAATGTCAAATCCACAGTGACTGGGGACCATAAAGAGAAATTTCTTTTTTGGATGTAATTGCACGTTTGAATGAGAATCTACACCACCGTGGGACAAATGCCACACATTTCATGGCATGATTGATTGTCTTGATAGATAAGTACAACAAAATTACGACTATATAATTTTATAAGATTTATTATTTTAGGAGATTTAAAAATTAAAATAACGTCTCTTGAAGACGAGAGGTACCATTTTTTAATGTGTCTATTTCACATCCAATATTATCAAATGATAGTTAAACAACATAAGGTCGAAACAAAAAAAAAGTAGCTCATCCCATATGATCTTTTATATCTTCAAGATTCAAGCCTGCATTATATAATAGATACAGATATTATATTTATCATAATTTTTTCTTACTTTATATATTGGACCTAAGAATCTAAGTCCTTCTTTCTTGCTTTTTTTCTTTTTCCCTCTTTAAAACCGAAGTCTTCACATGAGATGTTAAGGTTGGTATCAATTAATTGATGCTAGCTTCTTTGAATTGCACGATTTATCTATTTTAAAGAATAAAATGTAAACATTTTTATGGAAATTTTTTAAAGATTAATAATGCTGACTTTAATAGCAATTTATATCCATTTGGATCCTTGATAATTTAAAGCAAAAAAATTGTTTATTCTGCATTTATATCTTAAAATGAAATTTATGATTTAGAAGAAATTGTCAAAGGTAGGTCTATTTTTGGACATAGTGAGTTAGGCTCTAACCTAATTTGTCAAGCTCGAAAAGCTTGTATATACCACTTCAACCCAAGAAGACAAATTATTTTAAAAAGATGTTTTTTGCAGGCATGTACAAAATTTGTGCATCATGAAAAGGGCAAAGAAATATCTCTTAGCACCATTTGTTACGTTGAAAGAATTTCAAAGAAATGAAATTGAAAAAAAAAAGATTAAAAGAAATAGATTTTTGATGCAATGCATTCTTTTTTCTCCCTCTATTATATACATGTGCTAGGTAAATAAAAGTAAATGAAATCTATACGCATTAAATGATATCCATGAATGCTTTTTTTTTAATGCATATATATTCTATTGTTGGAGATAATTCTGTCCAAAATATGACCGAGCACGGCAATTTAAATCTTAGTTCACTACACATTGTGAGAAATTAACATGTTGTTATACAACTCTCATTGAAAATGTGTTAAAATATAATGTTGAAAATGGGAACTCATAGCTAGTACAACACATTTGAAGAGCATAGGAAGGAGAGGGAGGCACATTATGGCTAGCTAAGAGAAAAATGTTCATAAAACTTGGAAAACGATAACAAAATGGTCACTCAAAATTGAATTCCATGAGATAGTTTTTTATTCCTTAGTAGATAAGAAAGAAAGAGAAAGAGTCCATCAATCTGGGGCTTATTATTATCCTTGTTCTTTTTTTGTTCTTTGTTCCTTTTCTTTTTTAAAAGTGGGAGGGAAAGAAATCACTTTTGTTTGTTTGTTTGTCTTTCTGAGAACTAGATTTTGATCGCTAAACGTATCCACACGACAAAAGGCCATACATAGTGATCCAAAAATGTTAAAACCCCTTGGAGAGGCAATTCCATTTAGTACTCATGACCAGTATAGTTTATAAATGTCATTTTGCATAACAATGTTACGAGAAAATGGTAGGTTTTTAAAACATCGTGAAATCGCAGAGGCGTCAAGCTCACTATAGTATGCCCAGTGACGCTGATTAGATACGATAAAACAAATACTTCAAAAATGTCTTAAGCAGGATTGAGAATGGAGTAAGAGGATTGAGAATTTTCAAAAACGAAGTACCGGATACAACTTAGATGATTAAGTTTTTAACAGTCACTACTACTTTTAAATATTTCTAATATAGAATATGAATATTTAAAATCCAAATTTACTGATATGATTTTTCTTAAGTGGGCAAGTCAGGATCAAACTCATAATCTGCACCATGAAAGGCCAGCATAGCACCATTAAACTAAATCTGTCTTCAATGTACTTCCTTTTATTCTATTTATAAGTCATTTCAATGCTTCATTAAAATTAAGAAAAGCATGATACCTCATTAACTCTATCATAAAATTTAACAATTTTTCAAATTTACACCCATTTAATACTTACCCTTTTCAAAAAATAACAATCCACACAATAATAAGAATTAGACAACTTGAGCCAAAAAAATCTCCTCTCCACCTTATAAACAGAACTGGATCTGGAGTATGGAGTTAGTTAGGAAGATATAAAGAGAAGAGGTAAAGTGGGGACAAGTTTGGGGAAGGCAGAACAATAACTTTGATTGGCCAAAATACATGGAGCCATGCTGTCCCAGCTGTACACATTCTCATTAGACGTGGGTGTTCCTTGTCTTTCTCATTTGCTCATACTTCGTAAACAGAGATTCTTTCCATCAAGCATTACGAGTACTCCTATTAATTTTGCACAAAAGATACTCTGACATCGAACTAAGTAGGATGTTAAACGGGGAATAATTCCTCCCCTTTTTCCCCTCCACAAAAACTTTTTATAGAATTGATTCTATGCTACTTTTTAAGCAACCAAAAAAACTTTTTTATTTAATCTAAATTGTTTAGATTATTTATATCTCGCTTGGTTGCAAGTCTTCCAATCTATGACTAATCCGAACCCAAGGTATTGTTGGATCCAAATTGAAGGGGGCACGCGTAAAGACCTTTTCTTTTCTTTTTTGGCATATAAACACACTTGAATGACTTTCTAAACTAGCTTCTTCAATCATGGATTTTTATAATGTTAGGTCATAGGTGTTGGGCTTGAGAAGGATTTGTTAGTTTATGCCTTTTGGGTTGGCCTAGTCTTAAGGGCCGATCAATACTATAGATGGACATGGTCCACTATCAGTACAACGCCTAATAATAATGATAACTTCAAAAGAGAAGAGTACCTTTTAGAGCATCCCTCTTGATGATGTATGTTTGGTCAGATCAAGGTTTAAGTAGGCAGATCAGAAAATTTTGTAGAGTTTATACTCCTGTACAGTTAATATTTTTTTCACCAAGAAAGGACACCTATTAGTTCAATTTCAGACCTATCATGTGACAGATGTTGAATTTTTTCAGTACCATTAATGCTAATATAGATATCTTCTAGGTGCAATTCTACAAGCATCACATGCTAAAGTCTCAACATTAAAGTCAAACAAGCAAATTTGGGCATACTTAGTTACTCTACTTCGAAATTGCAAGTAACATTTACAGAGCACATGTAAAATTTGTCTTACGATATCAATTATGAGGCTTTTCGAAGAACCAAGGCCAACATGTAGCAGAGAGCAGAATCAACTGATGCGAGTGCCACAATAAGCAGTGCAGCAAGGACAAGAGTCAGAGTAGCAGTCCTTACCTGCAGAGTCCCACAATTCAAAAATCTTCAATCAACAAACTCTCAGAAGGCAAGGCAAACTGTGGCTGTGACGTGGGAATTTCCACGAAAGTAGCAGGATCGCAAGAAGACTCAGATCTATAATATGACGTGTGACGATAAAGGGGAAAATACATTCTAACCCCTATATCAAAACCTAAATATATTTCTGTGCATCTAACATTAGGGGGGAAAAAATACACTTCATATTCTTTCTAACAAGATGAAAACAAAAAAGCTTTAAATGGGTGTTTTGTACTTTTTCCAAGGGATTTTTTTTTTCCCGTCACACTTGAAATTGATCTAATATATTAAGATAGTAGTTAGACCTTAATTCTGAGGAGTAAACATACTTTTCCGAACTATAAACTTATGAGACATACCGTATTACTAAAGCTCGGCCATTCTATGTACTTCAACTGGCTCGGTTGCTCAACCAAAAATGCAAATAAAGATTACTCCCCTGAGATTGAACACGCAGTTACTGGGTGAATATAACTAGTTTTCTATTGCATAGAAACAGAATTAGGAAACTCCATTAGATATTGATAAAAACATCATTTTATTTACGCTGCAGTCTCATGATTAACTTAGAGGTCAAACAATACCATATCACGTCTGCGATGAGACTCAGCCAAAAAGGCCCCTGAGGGAAGTCATCACCAAATGTTAATTGATCATTCTTTGCAGCAGACACCACTAGCT